CCAGTCCTGGTCCTGCAGGGTCAGTGTGTCTGCAGGGTGTCCAGTTCTCCAGGGTCAGTTTGTCTGCAAGTTTTCTAGGTCTGTATAAAAAGGAACATCTAGAAAGCTGGAAAAGTTGCCTAATTGGTGTGACCTTGGTCAAAAATTGATTGAGTTGATTGAGCTCATTAAGAGCTGAACTGGAATGGTAACACACAGAAACACTGGCCCTCCGAGAGAAGAACATTGATCTGAGAATCCCATCTAGTTAAATAAACAACAGAAGAAAAAATGTCACTGTTATTTTATCACAAGGCTAAAGCAGTTTAAAGCAGATCAATTCACATTTAATAAGCCAATATGCTGGTGAAACGAAATATTTGTTTCTCTTATTTGTCCTGCCAGCAGACACTGAACCTCTTCTACTTGAACAAGAACTTTGCAGACAGCTAAAGCTTTATTAGTAAATGTCAGCCGCATGCCAATAGAAAACCTTTTGGAAAATATCATTTATTTTGAGCCCAAGAGCTTTATGTTCAGATTTTTGTTCAGCTGTGCCTGCTGCACACTCTTTCTTCTCTCGAAATGCAGGATGCAGCAGTCTGTGACGATCAACACAATTTCCCTTGTGTTCGTTTGACGTTCTGCCTGATTAAACTGCAACAAATTCCATTGCTGATCATGACATGTGTTGATTACAGGGTCTGGCTGATGTGTTAATTGGAACTGCTCTAATATGTAAACAAAATAACACTTTTTTTCTGAAGCAACACTGAAACACGAACCAGAGCACAGGTGAAAACTGTGTGAAAGTGTATTTCACACAGAGATGCAATTCTTTACACAAAGAGCTGTAGGAGCAGGGACCAACTGTGCACCCATGTTGTTGAAGCCTATACCCCGGATTCCTTAAAGAAACAACTGCATGAGATCCTAGGATCAATTAACTACTAACTACCAAGTAGGCGTTTATAAGAATTTGGGCTTGTTACCATTCTTATGTTTGAATTATGCAAACAGCTCATTTGCTTTTTTGTTCCTCAGTTTAGAATAACTTTATAAAATAAAATTGAAAATTCATCCAGCTTCACTGGGGAACAGATGTCCATTGTCCTCGTGCAGTCTTGGTCCCTGTGTCTTACTTGCCCTGTCCTCCAACAAGCTGAGGGCTCCAGTCCACTGTACTGGAATTCGCTTACTCAACAGCATGCTGGCCACACAGCTGGAGGTATAGACTCTTCTATGGGCTGCTTTTGTGCACAGCCGATAGCAGGTCATATATTTTTGCAAGAACCTCTTGAATTGTAAATGACTTTGTTTCATGTATGGTTATTGCTGTAGCTCTGGGAGGCAGAGTTTGTGTTGCTTGGGTGTTATCGGAGACCTGCTGTGAGAGTTGGATTACTTTTTAATAAGAGTGGTGACGGTAACTGCAATGATGACAGAGTGATGGAGGAGGAGGACGAACCAGGAGATGAAGGGAGAGCATGAGAAGGAAGAGGAAGAAGAGACAGGATCATGAGGAGTGCACTTCCTCTCACGACAGGAAATGGGAACGTGAGGAGATGAGGAGTGCACTTCCTCTCCTGACAGGAAACGGGAA